TGATCTGCTTCTTTTCTCTAGCGGCTTTCAGTATATTATTCTTGTGCTGGATTTCCGGAATCTTGACTATTCTATGTCTCGGTGTGTTTTTCATTGGGTTGAAATTATTTGGTATTCTGTATGTTTCAGTTACCTACGTCAGATTGTTTCCTCATATTTGGAAAGTTTTCTGCTATTATTTCTGCCCATGTTCTTTTTAAATCATTTGTACTGACTCCTCCTTTCTCATTGATGCCTATTAGTCTCACATTGTTCATCTTTGCATCATCTTGCAGTTACTGGATTATTTTTTCCTGCATCCTAGTTGTTTGTAAGAGATCCTTTCTTACCTTTTCACTAGCTGCACCAGCATCTTCAAGATCTGAAACTCTATCTTCACTTTCCTTCAAATGGTTTTGCAGGCTTGTGATTGAGATTTTAAGTTGCTCTATATCACTTTGACTGTGCTTCATGCGATCTGTTTTTTTCCTGTATTGCTCATTCATGGAATCTGTCATTTTTCTAATCTCTTTCTTTTTTATCAATGTCTTCTTTAGAAGCAGTTATTAATTCTTTTACTGCAGAGTTTTTTTCAGATTGGGTTTCCTCCACGTTTTTCTGTATTTGATTCTTTACTTCAGATGCTATGAATTCAGAGATTTCTTTTTTATTTCAGAAATTAATTATTTTGAGTTCCTGTATACCTTTCTGCTGTTGTTTCTTTACTTCTGACGCTGTTAATTCATTCATTTCAGCTGAGCTAGTGTCCTCTGCACTTGTTCTGGATTGGCTCGAGGCCTTAGATTACATTTTGCTCCTTGTCTTTGTCATTTTGTATGGCACTGACCTTTGACCTTCGGTGGAGCACTTTGGTACAGTTATAACCTTAGCACCTAGTGAAATTTGGGTGCAGATCTATGAAGTTTGAGTTTATCCAGTTATGCCTGGCTTGGGTCTAGCTGTTGTGTTCAGTTCCTTCCTGCTGCAGCCCTTGGAAGTGAACCTGTGGTGCCCCTCTGTTGTGCCCCTGGCCCAGGGGGAACAGGGAAGCGTAAAAGCTCTCCCCCACACTCGCCAGGCCTGGGCTCCGGCTGGATCTGGGGGTCCCGAAAACGTTGCAGAAGTTTTCACTCACTCGGCCGGCTTGGGGATGAGGGCTCCGGAGGGCTGGAGGGATCCCGAGGGCGCAGTAGAGGGTTTCACTCATGCAGCATGCCTGAGTTTTGGTCATGAGAGGTCCTGCGAGCACAGGGAAGTCAGAAGCTCTCCCACACACTCGCTGGGCCTGGGCTGGGCTGGATCTCCTGTATCATTTAGAAAAACCAACTGCACAGGGATTGAGAACTTGTAAAGGACAAAATACAACAATTTAAATATCTGAATTGACTTTGTAAACAATCCTTCAGTGGGACACTTCTTTCTACGAAGCGTTCTGAATAGCTCAGCAGAGGAAGTTGATTTCCTAGACAGAAAAGAGCTGAAGGGAGCAGGAACAATTACAAAATAGGCTGGTCTATTTCAAAGGTATTATTTTTTGTAAGGCAGAAATCTGGAAATAGAATAATAAAAAATAACTTATTAGTAAACATCAGGTTGTTTTCTCTGTTACTTTTTTGTAAGGATTAAAGAGGGGGAACTTGATTGTCAAGGTGGCCAACACTGACTAGTTTTGGGACATTGACTCTTAGCTCTCCAGATTTCTCAGGTCAGTAATGACTTAGTTTGGGTTTGGTGACGTGTAACTTCAGTGTGAGCAGCTCCACTTTGATTCAGTTTGTTCTGTTGGGCCTGCTGCCAGAGTTCAGTCTAAACAATGGTCTCCCGTGGATTTTATTTAACCATCTTCAATGTCAAAAACAAAATGCTAATGCTTTGGAAGAAAAAAGACCTTGATGCAGGGAAGAGTCTCTTAACCAGGAAATATCTCACCCTACCTCCCCCAAAAGCTAACAATAAAATAGTTTTTAAAGTCATGTGAAGTTTATGAAATTTTTCTCTTTTATGGATTGCACTGTTGAGGTTTGAACACAGGTCTTCACACGTGCTAGCCAAGTGCTCTAGCACTGCGCTGCATATCAGGCCCCTCAGTCACACTGTTTGAAAGAACACCTTATTAAGGTACGAAATTCAAAGACTGTATGACTGCTATAACAAAAACATAATGTCTTTGATTTCACTAACATCTAACTGAACTTGAGTATTTTCTTCGGTCATATATATTGATCAGCATTGGCAAGCTGCCCTGGAAGCCAAATTCCACAGTTTTAGAAATCAATTTTTATTGGCATACAATCACACTTGCTTGTTTGCTATTGTTGATGTGCGCTGACCCTTACTAGGGCAGAGATCTGAGCAGTTGTGACACAAATTGTATCACCAGAAAAAGCCTAGAACCTTTACCCTGCCGTCCTGTACAGAAATGTTTGGTGACCTCTGGTGTTCAAAATGAAAAAGCTTATAAGCTTCCTGAATTCACAGGCCAACACGCACATTAGCTGTCATTGCTTATGGACTTATCTTTTGCATATGCTGAAAGCTCTAAATACAGCAATATTTTCAAGCCTTATAATAATCCAACAAGATGTTTTATCTTCATTTTGTGTCTCAGCCTCCCAGAAGGCTAGACCTGTAAGCAGGTGTCACCACACCAAGTTCTTTGACCTTGTCCACCTATCCGGTGGGCTATACTGAAGGGGAAACCTTTTCCTCCTGTAGGGAAACTTCTACAACAATTTATTGTTGGTAGGTTTAAGGGTTAATGTTAGAGAATAATTATTTTTGTAGCAAAAATAGAATATTTGAAGAAAGGGATTTTCTGGTTAATCAGCTGGATTTTAGCCCTGTATGTTGAAAGTCTTTCTAAAATATTTTATACACTTTCCAATGTAGCAATTACAAAATACTAAACAGAAATCTAACCTGCATTAAAGATTTCTTAGAACCTTATAACATTTTCATTCAACTCATCTTTTATAGGTTTCCTTACATTTATAGAGCGCTTGTATCTTACAAAGCCCTTTCACCTAACTTCCTGTGCTCCAACTACCTAATAGACCTGTATCCACTACTCCTAGTAAAACGCCTAGTAAAATGGCTCCCCCTGCTAATCTCTGGTGGTGAGCTTTTGGCTCATTTACTCCTCTCCTTTTTTGACAGCTGGGTGCAGAAGTGGAAAGTGGCATGTGCATCAACACATGGATAGATGGAGAAAATGGGATTTACGTGGAGTAGTACTCTGCCACAAAGAAAGATGAACTTGAGTCATTTGTGGGAAAAAGTATGCACTTTGAGACCATAATGTTAAATGAAATAAATCAGGCACACAACCTTAAATTTCACTTGGTTTCTCCTATAGGAGAAGCCCAAATTATAAAGAACAAAATAAGAAAGATAATAGGAAGTAGGAAGGTACAGTAGATCTTTCTCAAATGGGAAAGGGATCATGAGAGGATGGAGAGGAGGGAAAAGGATGAAAAAGGAAATTAAGATGTGTTCTGTCCATGTGTGGACTCCCACAAGGAACGGAAACATTGTACTGCAAACCGGTACTGATTAGAGTGGGAGTCCACCTGGGAGTCTCACTTGGGAGTCTTGCAATTCATGCGAGAGAGCGGTGTCAAAAAATTAAATAAATAAAATCTAAAAAGTTAAAAATTCAGAAAGCTTCAGCTTTCCAGGGACAGCAGCATGAAGGTCCCAGCAGGCTCCTGCGGGAGCTAGAAGAAAGGAGAGCCTTAAGGTGCAGAGGCGGGTGCGAGTGGGAGCCAGCGCGGATGATCCGCTCTCAGAGCTGGGGACAAGGCGGTGTTCTACAAGCGCCAGGAGCCCCGCTGCCCCGGCCCCAGGGGCGACCCCCGCCCTGACCCGCTCCAGAAGCTGGCGTTTGTCTACCTCCACAGGGCTGAGCCCCAGCAGCTGAGCTCCAGCAGCAGCGCGACCGCCTGTGCGGCCGTCATGGCACCGGGTCCTGGGCCCAACGTCCGGGCCACGTGCGCCTGCGAAGAACGTGACAGTGGCCTGAAAGTCAGCTGGTGTGCGAAAACATAGACCAGAGTTTTGGGAACGGGATAGATAGCAAAACCACTTGGAGAAAAATCCAAGTTGGCCAAAAGGTGATTTTTTAAAAAAGTCACTCTACTTTTTAGCCCAAATATTCCTGGAAAGGTTTATCACCTCTGTCCTAGCAAATACGGGTGAGGCAGTGTTTTCCTTGGAGCAGATGCACTGTGAATAGTAATGAGTTCTCACGATCTTCTCAATACCCAGCACTGTCTCGGGCACTTTTGAACAAATATGAAAGCGTTTTTATTTACAAAGGGCTTATTTTGTGATAAAGCTGAGATAAGTACATTATCATACTCTATAATTTGTATGTTTACTGGTCAGTCGACCAAATAACCTGAATCCTCCTACGTTGTCAGTGCTGGGCAATCGTCATTTGCAATATGTTCTTAATGCGTACTGACAATGAATTGGAGAGCAATAATAATATGCAGAAGTAAAATGGGCTTTGGGGACCATTACAGAAGATGACAGTTCATACGTCTGGGAGACGCTACACGCAAAATGATTCTATTCCTCCCACTTCTTTTTTGGTAGCAATTTTTGTCAGAACTAAACATCCCAGTTCATTTGTATTGCAGTCGAAGGAATTTTAAATCAACATTTGGGATACTGTGGAATATACACACGAGTGAAGCTAAGAACGGCTAGGATATTAACGCAGATGGCCAAAGTACCAAACCAAGCTGTACTAGAGTGTGTTACACAGACTCCAAACGCTATAAAATGGGCTAGGGGGCAGTTTAGTGGCAGAGTGATCGCCTAGCATACCCGAGACCCTGGGCTGGATCTCCAGCATTGTAAGGAAAAAGCGAATCCTGTAAAACAAGGGCGTCCACCTACATCGTATGATTGTGGGGATCAAAAAACTCAGTGCATTCCACTACTGGTTCTGCATGCACTATATAAAGTAGATAATTCGCTCTCTCGGAACCGCTGTTAGTAACTTGTGAAATGAAACAGGTTAGGGCTCTACTTGTTTCCGAATTTCCTGGTTCCACTTTTACTGCTTGACTTTTTGAGTTTGCCTTTTTTGATCCCTGTCACTTCTGCTCTTACTACTAAAACTGCAACTTTGACTTCTAAACTTATACGGTCCAACTCTGTCCAACTTAGGTTCACTTGTGGGTTTGTATTTTGACATTACTTTCTTTGTATTTTGTACACTTTATCTCCTTCCTTAATAAAAATAAATGATTTTTTGAAAAAGAACGCTTTCAGTTCCTGAAACCTGCAGAGGGCACCCAACTAGGTACCAGATTGTAGCCCCGCCACGCACAGCGTTGCATGCCGGGAGATGTAGTTCAACGCTCTTCGCCCACCTACGTGCCTCACTGGTTTGGAGGAAGGGCAGGGAGGCGGGCGTGACGCGAAGCGTCCTGGAAGCCACGCCCCTTCCGCTCGCGGGATTCGCCTCAGAGTGGCAGTCTAGGCCACGGAAGGGGCGTGGCCTCAGCCGCGGGTGGCGGCCATTGCCGCCCGGTGCTTTTCTGGCATAAGGTGCTGCTGAGGTCCGCCTGCGCGGGGCAGTCGTGGTCCCCCTGTGAGCGGCGGTGTGGGAGGCGGGGCGGGGCTTGGCCGGCGGGGCGGGGCGGGGCCTGGCCGGCGGGGCGGGGCCGGCCTCTGGCTACTTCTTCCTCCGCATGTGGCTGGCGGCCGCGGGGCAGCAGCGTTTGAGTTCGCTCGCTCTTCGCTACCTCGTCTTCTCTGGGCTCTCCGTGCCTCGCTGGAGTCATGTCGGTCGCCGAGACCAACCCGACTGCATCTTCCCTGCCCAACGGCGACTGCGGCCGCGCCAGGACGCCGCAGGGAGGGAACCGGGTCACTGTGGTGCTGGGCGCGCAGTGGGGCGACGAAGGCAAGGGGAAGGTGGTGGATCTGCTGGCTCAGGACGCCGACATCGTGTGCCGCTGCCAGGTGAGGCGACGGGGCGCGGGCCCGGCCGGAACCCGATCCACCGTGCACACGAAGTGTCACCTTGAGCTGCGGCTGCGAACCAGCGAGGTGGAGAAAGGGCGGGAGGTGGGGACCCCTGACCCGGAGCCCGGCCGGCTCGCCCGGGGGGACGTGCGGGCTGGCGCGGGGGGCGGAGATGCGCGACGCCTCGGAGTCCGGGTCTCGGCCTGGGGACCGGTGCCAGCCCAGGAGCGG